GTCAGTGCGCCCCAGGGTAGCTGTGGGCTGTAGCTTGCCATTGCCAGTGTGTGAATGACTGAATGTAGTGTAAAGTGCTTTGGGGTCCTTAGAGACTGACTAAAGCGCTATACAAATGCAGGCCATTTACCATATATTTTTCCTTCCTATGATAGCCCAACGGGCAGGGCAGAGATAGATTGAGGAAAATAATGATCTGTCCAGACTAAGTTTGATAAACTGCTAAACAAATATGTGTAATAAAAAATAGTAATAGTTCTTAGAACCATATGGTCTTCTTAAAAACAACATAGCTTAATATATGAGCAGGGCCCAGAAAGGAACTGACAGAAACACCAGGCGGGCAAAACACCAGCTACTGGTAGATAAAGCAGTCCCTCAAGTGACTGCTGAAAAAGCCGCTAGGAAAGCCTGGGGAGGCCACTAGAGTGGTGGTATATGTACACTACAGTGCAGATTCTATATCCAGGCTGAAACAGCAAAGATCCATGAGTAAATCAGGAATACGGCCACTACTCATCATGTATGTTATGATGCACGAGTACACTTGCTGACTGGATGGGCGTCTACAAGTTAACATATAAAGATCTCCATGGAGCTCAAAGGAAGGAAGAATGCGAACAAAAAGCTTTAATATATCCATTCATCCATTCATTTGCTTGCACTTATTCAATTCAGTTCATTCAAAAAATTATTCATCTTTAAATAGTTTCTAACCAACCAGTCTGGGACATGGTATGGCTGGTGTGCTCATCCTGTTAAGTTCTTCTCACTCTCCACATATGCTCATGGCGTACATCTGCGGGTTTTCTATAATATTGTTGGTTTTTTACCTTACAATACAAAGAGAGTGGACTGTTCTGAATTAGCGCTATAAAATCACAAATGAATTAAACTGAGTTAACACGAAGCTCCGGACTGGTTAACTTCCAACACATTTTTCTTAAGCACGTTAGTGATCGTCGTGACGATGAAAACGGGTTACTGCCACTTGTTCCAAAGTTACGCCGTTTATGTAAATAATGAATGATAATAATAAATGTAGAAACTCATTTATATTCCACTCTGACTTTGTACTCTTTCATTTCTCTTGCTGTCTATTTTAATATTAACATAATTTTTCAGACCCTTCCAGTTGTTTGTAAATCGTATGAAAAATGTATTTAGATACAGAAGCATTAATATTGTGTGCCTCACCTTCCCTCCGCTCCTGCGGTTCTCAGTGCACCCGTTCCCCGCTGCCTCCTCAGCGGCAGAATCCTCCTCCTCCTTCCCGTCCTCTAGCTCTTTTACACCGGTCTCTTGTTCCGTCCGGAGCCGCTTGGCGACCTGGTAATATCCTTCTTTTCTGTCTTCGCTCTCTTCCATCATAGAAGAGAGGAGAAAGTCACAAATTTTCGGTAAAAAGGAAGAAGAGACGTTGCACCTGCTACTCTCGCTGTCTCTCGCTGTCTCTCAGGTCAGCTCCAAAGATCGCCAAAACAGGAAGACGTCTTACATTGCTCATTGCGTGTCATGGTTTGTGTTATCTTGCAGGCACACTTATTTTCTTACAACACTGTGTGGCTTTTTGTTGTTCTTGTTTTTCTGGGTTTTTTTTTATTGAAACAAATTAGACTTACCATTTTTGTAGACTCACCTTCACATACCCAAGAGGTAGTGATGGGAAGTCTGGGTCTTTTCTAAGATTCGTCTCTTTTGGCTTGC